GGTGGTGGTTGATATTTAGTCTTTAAGATATTATACTTTATTCACATAGTTATCTGCACCAAACATGAGATATATCGTTTGCTTAATAATTTACTATATGAAATAGGAAAGATACAATATTTTACTATAAGCAACTAACTCAGTGGAAAAGGGGTTTTTAAGACATTTTTGTGACTGGAAAACATAGATTGAAAAGTAAAAACTTGGATATTTAAACTTTTGAAATGTTCAACATGTATGTTAAGTAAAAGGAATTATGTATATAAAATTATTCAAAAAGGGCTCTTAATTTACAAATAAATTCTAATTAATGTGATCCCTTTTAAAAAAATTATATTTCTAATATTATACTTTATACTCACTTGCGAAAAGAGGTATAAATTAGTTTTAGCCACATTTAAGTTTTTCTAATGTTTTATTATGAGATGTTCAATTTATATCATTTTAAAATATTTAGGGTCTTCACAAATTGCGAGCCTTTGAGATGTTTAATAGGTATGTTGATTAAAAATAATTATGTGAATAAAACTACTCAAATATGTGTTGTTTAAGTTTTTTGATATTTTATTATGAGATATTCAATATATATCATTTAAAAAAAATTAAGGTCTTCACCACTTACAATTATTTTAATAGACTTGAATTAGAATAATTACATCCCATCAGAATAACATTAGCCACTAGGTACTAAGAAATAGAGATGAGTCCTAATAGAAGGTGTAACTGATGCAGTTGAGCTAAAAAAAGTTCTAAATTGCAAGAGTAAGTGAATAATATGAAGAATGATCTTTAAATAAACAAGAGTCTCATAATCATTAAAAAACATAATTTAAAGACATGAGCAAGTCTCCAGTTATGTGAAATAGTCAAAGTTAACTATAAAGCAATTTTATATCTTAAAAAACAACAAGTTACTCTATCACGAAAAACATACACTAGCATGAAATATATTAGTTAATCATTTTCATAGCTTTCTTTGATAATCTAGAACATAAACATATAGAATATAATAATATTACATTGAAAAAATTCTCATAATTAAGATCCATAGTTATTGGTATATGATCTTACCTTAAGAGCCCATTAGCCTCATGAGATATCACATTAAAGTAAAAAATTAATCATTAAAATTGTAAAGGGTGTAAATACCGTGAATTCATACAAATTATAAGATGAAAAACATAGGATTTGTGACCTGAATGAAATTATTTGCATAAAAACTATTTTTTCTAAAAAGATCTTGATATTCATGTACTATTTATTGTAAATTGTGTTTAATGCAAATTGACTGTATAATTTTGAGTTTAGTTAAGGTAATTTAATACTTTTGATTAACTATATAGGTATATAGACAATAATTATTTTATTTTTTCACGTAAAATTCAAATAAATATTTCACAAGCGAGTTAAGTAAAAAATAAAAAAAAAAGATAATGATGTTTAACCACGTGCAATGCACGTGCATTCAATCTAGTGATTGGGAAAAATATGTGGAGTTTTTTTATGGAATTCATTAGAACTTTTACTATATATGTCTTGCGAGAAAAAGCTGATATCCCACTTTGTTGAAATATTTTTCTTTTGTTTCTTATTTCCTTTGTTAAATAGG